CCACCTGATGTGAAGTGCTGACTCATTGGAAAAGTTTGTGATGCTGGGAAAGGTTGAGGACAAGAGAAGGGAGCGGCAGAGGATGAAATGAATGGATGGCTTCACTGACTCAATAGATGTGAATTTGAGCAAACTCCAGAAAATAGTGAACAGGGAAGCCTAGTGTAGTTCATGGGATCACAAAGAGTCAGACACAGCTTAGTGATTGTACAACAACAACACTGAAAGTTACTAAGGGGAGTTGTGACATCTCTTTGGAAATTCTAGGGAAAATATATTAACTATGTATCCGAAATGTGTTTACTTAGTTCTGTTGGAAATGTAGTTTGATTTTTGACCTTTCTTAGGTTAGCTCAGCCTAATGTTCAACTGAAGATTCTCATTTTCAGATTAAAATTATTTTTTTCTCTTTGATGAATTAAGTATATTTTGTCAGAATTTAGCATATTAATCTGATGGATAGATTTATTGATTCCTTATTTACTATGATTTAATCAGATATTTTTCTAATACCTACAATATTCAAGGCTCTTAAGAAGACATAGTGTAAAACATGATCCCTGAGGAGCTTGTTTTGAAGTTGTAAACAGGTTGACTACAGATTATAAATTGCTTGTATATCAGGCTTCAACTTTATTCTACATATTGTAGGAAGCAGAAAATATTTGAAACCTTTTCACTCTCATTTTATAAATAGTTGCCATGATGGAACTCTTCAGTGTGAGATGGTAGTTGGGCCACCATTATGGAAATAAGATGAAGGAAATGGCACGGAATTTGGAGAGTTTGGCAGTAGGGAGGTCTTTAGAAAACTCTTGCTTTAGACAGCAGGCAAGATCAAGGTGACAGACGACCAGGGTATATGGACTGGCATGAGAGGGGAAAGGAAGATCAACAAAATTTAGCAATTTCCCTGGATGTGGTACCCAAGGAAAAGGCAGAATTCACAAGGGCTATACGATTTCTATGCCGCATGCTTTAAAAAGAAGGGTGGCAGAGTAAAAGCAGTCCTAAAAAGATAGGTAATTATGAGACATTGGATCTGAACAACTTGAGATCATAGCATCTCAGAATCTAGTAGGCTACTGGATCAAAGGAGTGAGAAAAATGTTATCCAGTGTGTGACATTTGATTAAATTATTTACTTAATTGTTCACCACCTTTATATTATTATTGGACTGGGGATATTTAAATTGCTTTTGTTGGGTACATTTTGCGCAAATGCCCATAGGTTTCAGTCTTTCTTTTTAAAGGCTACATCTTATGTTAGGAATTGTGAAGTAGGTAATTTAGCTGTGTTCTATTTGTGGTTAGAAAAATTTCTTTTTTTATGCTTACTCTTCTTGGTTAGAACAATCTAGGATAAATAATGTAAACATAATTTTGTTTCCATAATTTTGCCTCTTTATCAGGATTCAAATTTCAGTTCATTTATTTTAGTAAGGAATAGATGTTCCTTTGTCCTACCAACAAAATTGTTCAGATATGACTTTTGTTTTAGGATTAGAGTTATACCTTTGTACAGATAGTTCACAGATAGATAACCTTTTAAGACTGGAAGGAACTATAAAAGGCCTTTAACATCTAGTACAGCTGCCACATTTCTTGGTTTAGTAATCTGAAACCAAGAGAAAATAATAACAGATAACATTTATTAAGCTCTTATCTCACATAATCTTTATAAACCCCTACAAGTAAGTCTGATGGAAAGCAATGGCATCGCTATTATAGCTTTAGGAATTGTTTTCTTGGTAAATGTCCTTTATAATTTAAACAGTTCAGCTCTGTGCAGGAGAGAGTAACAGTATGTTATTTAATTAAATAATTAACATTTATATTAATAAAATACTAATTATTAAAAGACATTTCACACCTATTATTCAATACAGTAAAACTGTAGTATTTAATGTAGGTATTATTATTTTTAAAGACTTTTTCTTACTCTCAACACATACACATTTTAATAAATGTTTCTGTCTATACAGTATTTTAAAATATACTTGATAAAATTCTGTCTTAATGTTTTTCTTCTTGATCCTGTGGTCCTGGAATTCAAATTAGATTCATTTAATTTTTGTTGAATTTTGGTATTACTTTGTCAGTCATATAGTATATAATAAAATGTGTGTCTATATGTATGTGTGTGTATATAATATACCTATGTTGATCAGTTTGATATGTGTTAAATTTTAATCTGTTTTGCTACTCTGGAAATTTTATTTCTTTATTGTCCACATTTCACTAACTTCTGTTACCTCTAACTATCTGGGCAGCTGAGAGGAGTTGTTTACATTAGTACAGTGATGAAAACAAAATCACTCCAGTTGACCCTTGAACTCTTAGAGATTAAAGGCACTGACCTCTGTGAAATTGAAAATCTGCCTGTAATTTATAGTCTGTCCTCTGTATATACAGTTTGGTTCCTCCATATCTGTGGTTCTGCATCCCTGGATTCAACCAACCATGGATTGTGTAGTACTGTTTTATTCACTATTGAAAAAAATCCACATGTGAGTGGACCCATGCAGTTCAAACTCATGTTGATCAAGTGTCAACTCTGTGTACTACATTTATATTATAATAGAGAATATTTCATTGAAAGGCTTGAAATCTTTTTTTATACTTTGTATCTGTTGGATTTTATATGTGTGCTGTGTGTGGTAAGTTGCTGCAGTCATGGCCCATTCTTTGAGACTCTGTGGACTGTAGCCTGCCAGGCTTCTCTGTCCATGGAATTCTGCAGGCAAGAATACTGGAGTGGGTTGCCATTTCCTACTCTAGGGAATTTTCCCAATCTGGGGATCGAACCTGAGTCTCTTAGATCATCTCCTGCATTGGCAGGCAGGTTCTTTGCCACTAGCACCATCTGGGAAGCCTAGACTTTACATATCCTTGCTCAAATAGATATTTTTTCTTACTAATTTCTAGAACCTTGTCCATCATTTGATAGTTATATGTTAAATGAAATAGATTTCAAATCGAAAATCTTTGTTCTTCCTGACTTCACAATGTATAACAAACGATAGATTTTGCCCGTGTTAGATAACATATAGCATCCATTCGTTGAGCATATATTTTATGAAGGTCTGTAGTGTTAGGCACACTTCAGCTTTAGGGTAGTGGGAGAGAAACACAGACATGGGCCTGCCTGAATGGATCTGATAGTCAATACTGTTTCCTTGATTTTAGATCCAAATAGTTGTTCTTGTACACTAGGATTTATCTGCCCTGATCATTATTTTTAAGGAAAGAATTAGAGAATTGATGGTAATCAAAACCTACAGAACATACAATATTCATTTGTATTATTGCTTTGCTTCCAAATTATGAGTTCCAGCACTCAGCCATTGTTCAGTTTGCTGAGGGATGTTTTTCTTTTAATCAAATAGCAATTTTAGTAAAATGTGCTCTAAAACATTTAGTTTTTTAAAAGTTGTGGTAAAACGTACTTATCATAAAAGACATTTTAGCCATTTTTTAAGTGCACAATTCATTAATTGCTTTTACAGTGTTGTGTTTGTAAAGAACCCACCTGCTAATGCAGGAAATGTGAAAGACATGGGTTCGATCCCTGGGTTGGGAAAATCCCTGGAGGAGGGCATGTCAGCCCACTCCAGTACTCTTGCCTGGAGAATCCCACGGACACAGGAGCCTGGTGGGTACAGTCCACAGGGTTGCACAGAATTGGGCACGACTGAGCGACTCAGCACTGCAGCAGTCCACTCCACAGTGCTTGCAGCCATCACCACTGTGCACTTCCAGAATTTTTGTTCATCCCAAATAGAAACTCTGCTTGAGATCTTTACTTCTAATTTTTAGAGAAAGTGGGCTTCCCTGGTGGCTCAGTGGTAAAGAATCCACTTGTCAGACAGATGTAGGTTCTATCCCTGGGTCAGAAAGATTCCTAGGAGAAGGAAATAGCAATCCACTCCAGTATTCTTGCCTGGCAACTCCCATGGACAAAGGAGCCTGGCGGGCTATAGTCTGTGAGGTCACAAAGAGTCAGACATGATTTAGTGACTGAACAACAACAATATTAGAGAAATTACAACAACAACGTTAGAGAAATACTGCTTATTTTCTTCCTTTTTCGGGTCTAGTGTCAAGAATATGGCTTCTTCCAGCAACCCATGTTTAGTGTGACCTACTTGGATTTAACTGAATTCTGAGCTTGTCATTTTAATTAGAATGGTTCCTTTTGGTTTGTACTTGTTCCTTATTTCTGAGTATCTATTAAAAATGCTTCATCTTCCATTTTACTGTCATTTTATATTTATTTGCTCCTTTTGGAGCAATGAAATAGATCCATACAGAGTTTAAAGGAGATAAAATTAAATGTAAACATGTATAACGTTTTGTAAGGAAGGGAAGAAAGATTGGAAATTAAAGACTGTGGTACACAATAAAGTCTGACAGTCTCAGACACAACTGGTTTTCTTCCCCTCCTGCTAAATGCCTGGAACAAGAAGCCCGTCCAACATAAAAGATATTTGGGACTGTGATCTAAAAGAGTTCAGTCCCTCAAACACTGGTCACGAATTGGACTCAATAGGAAGGATTGTTAGTACATCCTCCATCTGCATTAATCTTTGTGCTGAAACAAAAATACAGCTGTTTAAAAGAGTTTTAAAAATTATTTCTGAAAGAGTATTAAATACCCTATTCAGCTTACATTTTTCCCCCTAAAATGTGGTTTCCTTGGCTACTTCTCTTCCTCATTTGTAACAGTCACACACTCCTGTTACACAATAAAGAAATGGAGAAATTACCAAAGACTCTTTTTCAGACAGTTATTTTAGAGTCTTAGACAGCAAATAAAAATTTAAGAAAATAAGTCTAAAAGTCATTTGAATTTTTACTTTACCTGTTAAGTAAGAAAATTTGTATTACTTTGTCTAGTAGTATATGAGTATATTTCCTTTTGATATAACAACAGTGTAATTTTCATCTGTGTTTATTTTTAAAGAATGACAAGTCCTAATGAAATAAATTTTTTACAGCTAAAAGATGGTGGCAAAGCATCCCAGGCAAACGTAAGAATAGGCGACGTGGTTCTCAGCATTGATGGAATAAGTGCCCATGGCATGACTCATCTGGAAGCCCAGAACAAGATTAAGGGTTGTACAGGCTCTTTGAATATGACTCTGCAAAGGTAAATTTTTTTCATTTGGTTCTGATACAGAAAGCAACACTGATGAATGTGTTTTTGTGTGTCTGATTCATGGTGTTAAGTAAGAAGCAGTTTCTACTGCCATTGTTTCAGGTAGATAAATAAGAAATAGAATGACTTTTAAATTGGGTATTGAGCAGTATGAGAACTGGTGAAAGCTTTGGTTATAAGGCATGTATTCGCATACTCAAAACTATTGTGTGTACAGTTTCATAGAGTTTAAGAATTTCTGCAATTTCTCAGTGGAATGCAGCCTAAGGATTCTTGTTATAGGGTAAAACTCTTGACCTTAATATTCTAGGCAGTGTATTAGAAGGTATTCTTTTAAAATATTTGGTTTTTCTTTTACCATAAGTATGTTTTTCGCCTTTCACCCCTGATAGAAAAATATAATTTTAATATATTTATTTGAGGTTCAAACTAAGTTCATTTTCTGAACTTAGTTTGGCTTCAATTTTAAAATAGATAAGCATCTTGTTGATTATATTATATCAGGTCTTTTCAGCATCCCAACCTTTGAACTGTATTGAGATCAGCTAAATTGCTTCTTAAAAATACTGCTAGGAAACTAGTATAGCTGCTATGGAGAACAGTGTGGAGATTTCTTAAAAAACTGGAAATAGAACTGCCATATGACCCAGCAATCCCACTGCTGGGCATACACACCGAGGAAACCAGAATTGAAAGAGACACGTGTACCCCAGTGTTCATCACAGCACTGTTTACAATAGCCAGGACATGGAAGCAACCTAGATGTCCATCAGCAGACAAGTGGATAAGAAAGCTGTGGTACATATGCACAATGGAATATTACTCAGCTATTAAAAAGAATGCATTTGAATCAGTTCTAATGAGGTGGATGAAACTGGAGCCTATTATACAGACTGAAGTACGTCAGAAATAAAAATACCAATACAATGTATTAATGCATATGTATGGGGTTTAGAAAGATGGTAATGATGACCCTATTTGTGAGACAGCAAAAGAGACCCAGATGTAAAGAACAGACTTTTGGACTCTGTGGGAGAAGGCAAGGGTGGGATGATTTGAGAGAATAGCATTGAAACATGTATATTATCATATGTGAAATAGATTGCCAGTCCAGGTCCGATGCATGAGACAGGGTGCTCAGGGCTGGCGCACTGGGATGACCCAGAGGGATGGGATGGGGAGGGAGGTGGGAGGGGGGTTCAGGATGGGGAACACATGTACACCCATGGCTGATTCATGTCAATGTACGGCAAAAACCCCTACAATATTGTAAAGTAATTAGCCTCCAATTAAAATAAAGAAAAAAAATACTGCTAGGAATCAGAATATCTGAAAGTAAGAACCAAGAATTATATATTAATCAGTTTTCTATGATTATTCTGAAATACAAAGTTAGAACCACTTCATATCTTGGGTTGAGGGGAAGGTAGGGGAAAGAGAGAATAGGAGGGTTCTTGAATAATGGCTGTGAACCTGTAGGTTTATAAGGAAGGTAGCTATTCTTTACCAGGTGGTCATAAAGGGTTTTAAGCAAGTCTCGCTTTTGATAATTGTATTAATGGAAGGATTGTCTGTTCTATAAAATTTGGAAAATGCCATTTCCCCCCAAAACATATCATGTCTCTGTCGTTGTTTAGTCGGTAAGTCGTGTCCAACCCTCTTGTGACCCCATGGACTGTGCCCACCAGGCTACCCTGTCCATGGGATTTCCCAGGCAGAAATACTGGAGTGGGTTGCCATTTCCTTCTCCAGAACATTTCATCAGTTCAGTTCAGTTCAGTCGCTCAGTCGTGTCCAACTCTTTGCGACCATGTGAATTGCAGCATGCCAGGCCTCCTTGTCCATCACCAACTCCCGGAGTCTACTCAAACTCATGTCCATTAGGTCAGTGATGCCGTCCAGCCATATCATCCTCTGTCGTCCCCTTCTCCTCCTGCCCTCAATCCCTCCCAGCATCAGAATGTTTTCCAATGAGTCAACTCTTCTCATGAGGTGGCCAAAGTATTGGAGTTTTAGCTTCAGCATCAGTCCTTCCAATGAACACCCAGGACTGATCTCCTTTATGATGGACTGGTTGGATCTCCTTGCAGCCCAAGGGACTCTCAAGAGTCTTCTCCAACACCACAGTTCAAAAGCATCAATTCTTTGGTGCTCAGCCTTCTTCACAGTCCAAATCTCACATCCATACATGACCACTGGAAAAACCATAGGCTTGACTAGACGGACCTTTATTGGCAAAGTAATATCTCTGCTTTTTAATATGCTGTCTAGGTTGGTCATAACTTTCCTTTCAAGGAGTAAGTGTCTTTTAATTTCATGGCTGCAGTCACCATCTGCAGTGATTTTGGAGCCCAAAAAAATAAAGTCTGACACTGTTTCCACTGTTTCCCCATCTATTTCCCATGAACTCATGGGACCAGATGCCATGATCTTAGTTTTCTGAATATTGAGCTTTAAGCCAACTTTTCACTCTCCTCTTTCACTTTCATCAAGAGGCTTTTTAGTTCCTCTTCACTTTTTGCCATAAGGATGGTGTCATCTGCATATATGAGGTTATTGATATTTCTCCCAGCAATCTTGATTCCAGCTGTGCTTCTTCCAGCCCAGCGTTTCTCATGATGTACTCTGCATATAAGTTAAATAAGCAGGGTGACAATGTACAGCCTTGACGTACTCCTTTTCCTATTTGGAACCAGTCTGTTGTTCCATGTCCAGTTCTAACTGTTGCTTCCTGACCTGCATCCAGGTTTCTCAAGAGGCAGGTCAGGTGGTCTGGTATTCCCATCTTTTTCAGAATTTTCCACAGTTTCTTGTGATCCACACAGTCAAAGGCTTTGGCATATGGCATTTGGCATTGTCATATGGAAGACATCTCATGGTCTTCCATAAATTGTTATTTTGATTATGAGTCTTTATAAGGGGAATAATGTATGCTATATATTCCTATTATTTTTAATATGAAACCTTTTTATTCTTGGAGGTTCTCCTGGGAGGATTTAAAAGATATATACAGGGTAAATAACATGTAATTTTCTGGATGAGTATCAATTTTGTCTTAAAAGTGAATAGGAGATATCTATAAAAACTTAAGAGATTTACTGTGCTGTATCATGACTTTCTGACCAGTTCCCATTTGGGTGCATGTGTGTGTGTGTGTCTGTCTGTCTGTCTGCATGTTATGTCTTTGTGTGTTTCTGTATGTGAAATTCCTTTCATTGGGACTGTTGAATCAAAGTTAATGTGTATTTAAATTTTGAAAGCTAGTAGCTGTATGTTTCAGTGGATACAAAAGTAATCAAGGAGAAACAATAACCTTGCTAAAAAGTTCTATTTTGATAGTCTCTGTTTTGTATATTGAGACATGTAACACAAAAATTGTTACTAATTAAGAGAAAATAGTTATTTTAATGATAGGCATTTTTACTAAGTATGAATTTTGAAAGGGAACCAAGAAGTTAAGAAGCTTGATGTGTCATGAGATATCAACACAACAAAGCAAATATGTTGTTAGGTTGTCTCTCCTATTCTCAAGTGAAAGTTTATGTGTGGTATAAACTTTTTTCTGGGCTGTGTATAGTTTCTTTCATAGTAGCTTACTTGTTTTCATATTGTGCTCACTATTTTATGACCTAGTACAGTATCTTATTTTCTGTTGAAAAGACTTCTGGGTTCCATGACAGTAGATGAAAACCAGATGTTACCCTGTTTGGGTGGGTTTCTAGTTTGAGTAATCTGCTACTGATTTTAATAGATTCTTTTAAGCTACTTAAATGCAGAATCTCACAAGCCAACTTGTTACAAATACTTGGAGATACTACTTAATCTTATCTTCATGTATCTGAGTATGGATATTCACAGACCCAGAATATGAGAGAGAATTTTAGAGTCCTGTTTTTCATTGTTATTGTTCTCAATTTTTCGAACACCTCTTGTATTAGGTTATGTCAGTCTGAAAGAGATTTGCATTTAAGAGAATTCATGGTATAACCCTGACAATGCTACTGAAGAAATACATTTTGCTTTTTTATGAAAAAAATAAAACTTTGAAGAGTTATCTTTAATCTTGCCCTATACTAAGGCCATTTTCTTCCTAAATTCTCTTTCTTATAGCAAGGCAAGATTTCTTTTCCAACTCATTTAGTAATTTGAACAACAGCATCCTTACTTGGCTTCCAGTCACCTTACCCTCTTTATTCCAGCTCTCACCAACTACTCTGCTCAGAATTCTCCTTCCAAATTGAGTAACCTACAACAGTGCTTTCTCTGTTTTCTTCATGACTATCTAAGTACTCTCCTTTACAGACTTGTCTTTAGTCTGGTTTCTCTAGAAGCAGAACCTGAGATGGGATTCATGTACAAGTGATTTATCAAGAGAGTTGTTTCATATGTTACTTACAATGGAGTGAATGAAGCAGGACTGGGGAGAAGAAACTGAGGTGAGCAAGGATATGGTTTCAGGGGATGTCTATCTTCAGCTTGCCCCAGGAGAGAACTTGGGAACAAAATTGTACCATGGAGTGAGTCTTGTCTTGAGGGAACTGGGTTTTTGTCCCCTCTCCCCTGCATTTGTTAGTCATTGGCCACCATTGTCTTGGAAGTGTGTGTGTGTGTGTGTTCAGGGGAGGGCTCAGAGCTTCTGTGGCTTCCATAGGAAGTTGCTGGTGTGAACCATTAATAGCAATATAGGGAGCACCTTGGAGCTGTATGTACCAAACCAGTAGACTGGTTCCAGAGGACCCACACTGGGCACTAGCATCATGTGCTCTGAGATTGCATCCAGACTGAAGACCTTTGCTCAGAGGATTAGGCTGTCTGTGACCCAGGCCCAATCTGGTTGTCATCCTCAGATCATCACTACTCATCAGCAGATACCATCTTTCTATTTAAGACAGACTTCTTACTGTCACATGCCTTTTTGTCCTCTTACAAACTTTGCTTCGTATGGAATGCCTTCCCACCTCTTCACTGCCAGTGAGTGCCTCCACATCCTC